CTCAACAATCAAAGATTATGAGATCCTAGTGGGCTGGAGAGGCCTTGAGTCCATAGAAGACTCGTGGGAACCGCTGACTTCCCTAGCTAAAGAAGTTAAAGTTTTGCTTAACCAATACATTCAAAAGCAAGATGCTAAGGTACGCAAGTACTGGAACGACAACTGTTCAAAAATTTAATACAAAATAATGCATAGTTTTGCCACAATCAGTATTTTTCTGAAAAAGTTAAATTCATGGATGCTACCATGTAGCCAACACATGTATAAATACTTTCTACTAATTGGAATTGCCACATTGGCAATATTGATACCAGTATCGATTTCCAAAGATATACCTCAACTGGTTGCACTAGTTATAGTTATGGCCGGGGCATTTCGGTCAACGACTGTTGACATGACGTTACAAAAAACGGTATATATCATTAGTCGCGGTATATGTCACAATGACGATACCACAAATATTAATACATGTACTACGCCAATTTTCTATAGCTGGAGCAAGCTTGGAGGGGCAGTGTAGTGCAGGCTACGCCTATATCTAAATATTCAGCCAGCCCCAGCTGCACATTGTAGTTGTGGAAAGCAGATCCCTTTCGGGATCCTGAAGATCAACGAAGATGTACAAGGTGTATCGGCATCAGTGATGACCGTATCGACATCTATGATGACCGGAAGACTCGTTACGTGCCTTGTGATGACACAGCCCACGTCCAACCATTGGAGCAGAACAACTAGTACGATATAGACCACGACAGCTCATAGAGCAGTTACACTTTGCCTTTTACCTACAAATACACTAGGCTACAACTACCAGGAGCTTCGCCAGCTCCCCATCGTGTTTTCAGTTTGAATACACCACAAAGAATTCTTTAGCGGTTGTACCGCTGATACAAGATGGCCAAGACCCGCTCGAGCAATTCGAGCACCTCCGACGCGGATGAAGACCGAGTGACAGCGCCGATCTTCACGCCAACGCTACCACCACGCCTCACGAGCACATCGCACGCTGCTTTGGTGAAGTGGCGACGTGAACGCCGTGAATACGAAGAGACGATCCGTAGCCGAGCCAAGGACAGTGCTGCCGACCTGATCGTTCCTGTCAAGAGCACTTTCGACGAGGGGTTACTACGCATGTGGTGCCTGCTCCGTTGGAAGCTCTCAATTGATGATGTCACTGACAGCCACATTTTGGCTGAAGTTGACAAAATCATTGATAGCGTCAAAAACAACGATGTTCCAGACATCGATGTTGAGATGCGCGAGCAACTCCGAATGGATTTATCTGAATCCGACGTTAGTGAAAGGGTAATTCAGTACTTCAAGAAGTGTTACGAAATTGTCGACGACCATGGGTGGAGAGTTTTCTTCACTGGCTTGGATGGAAGGAAACAATTGTGCCGCATTTTGATCGCATCACTCGAGCCCCAAGCGCTCCGTGATGAAGTGGAGAGAGCTGTCCGTTTTCAATCGCGCAAAGCGAAAGAAGACGAAGTTGCCCTTCACGACCTCATCTTGACGAAAGCTCTCGACCAAGAAAAAGCTTTCCAGAGTCTTAAACGCTCAAAGCGCGACCGAGGAGAGCGTGAGACGGGACGCCCATCAGCACGTGGTACCGGAAATCCCCCGAACAAGAAGCAGCGAGTTGTCGAGACAAGCAAAGGTGGCCCGCGACCTCCTCTAAAGTCCGAAACGGACCGACCCAAGGTGCCACCGACACCGTGTCCGCACTGCAATGACATGCATTGGCTCTCAGAGTGCCCTACGGCCACGGACGATCAAAAGGCTGAGATCCGCCGTAAGTTGCGAGCCCAGCGAGCCGACGACAGCAAACGCAAGGTTGCGCGCACTAAGCGCCTACGCGAATGCCTCCCATCTGAGGAAAAGTCAGTAACTTTGAATGACAAACTGACAGTTCCCTATTGTGCTGATAGTGGAGCAGATAGAAGCGTTATTAGTCGCCATTATGTTGAGCAGCT